CTTTCATGAACGTATATACATTGCAAGAGAGATATCTACACAACAATTTACTCATTTTTTCGGTTAATCTATTTCTACACACAGAAAGACTCACCTGGAGGTAAAACTCCCTCCAATACTTCAATCTCTCTTTATATTTGTATCTGTGGTAGTTTTTGAGATAAAATTACAATTAATAATCTTTTTTCGTTGTTGAAAGAACTAGGGTTAAATTTTTCTTTTTGGTAATTTAATCCATCCCGCTTTGTTTTTTGTCTTTCCTACATCCAGTGACATTTTCTTTGCATAGGAGGAGGGCTTAACCCAAAAAATGTCTAATTATTGCAAAACTATTAGATAATTAACCTATGAGAAACTTCTAGTGAACTTTCGAAATTTTTGTTAGTTTTTTCTGTAATTATTGTAATAAACTAGTTGGGATTAATGATAATTAAGATGTTGGATATAAGGGTAATTGACTATGTGAATATATATATTTCTTGTCAATAGTGGTATATTAATTTTGATTTGAAAACATCAACACCCTCTCGCCAACATTTTTGGCTGTAAATTCATCACCTAATTAGTGAACTAGAAATTGGTAATATGAGGTGAGTTATTGGTGGTGCTGTGTCCTCTGAGCTGGAGGGTTTAATGGCAAAGTTTTCAGGTCAGTGAGACTATTAATATCAAGACAGATGAATGGGCCAGTTTCGATAAAGGTTTTCAAGGAAGTTGGTTATTTTTTTCGTGTTGAACTGTAAAAACTAGCTTAATTTTTCAGTCACTGTTGAAGATACCTAGGTGGACAGCGAAACGTTTGTATATAAGTTATCCAGCTCATGGAAAACAAGAATACATAAGCATCTGTCTTAATCTCAGAATTTATACCTAGTAAATCGCGTCACTAATCTTACCCTAGGCCTTGTAAAATTTCAGCAGGACTAGCAAATACTGGCAGTACGCTTAAGATCTGTGTAATAGAGGTAAGTGAATTGATGAGCGGTCAAGTAGTCATCCAGTAATCGTTAGACACTATGATCCACTGTTCTCCTTGACCTGGTATACCAGTGGGAATAGGAATGGGCTAGGAAAGAGATAAGAGTCGACTGACTGGTCCATGGATTCTTTAATTTTTGATCTAAATCAAATAAGTAGGGAAAGGGGGCACATACTGCCCGAGTGGGTCAGTAATTAGGGAGACACGGTGACTTGGATGGGAATCTTTGACAGTGACATATAGATATATTCACAGTTCTGAATACCTCCAATCTTCATTAAGTTACCATTTCTATCTCTCATATATGTTTGTCCAGCTTTCTATCATTCTATTTCTGTCTTCTTTATTAATCTGATGAACTGAAGTCGTGCATGTTCTCAAATGTCCGTCTAAAGTATCCTATATTTTACGGCTGTTTTACTAGAAAAAAATAAAAGCGCTTTTATGAAAGAAAGTGTTAAAGTATTAGTATTCAGAAGAAATTAGTGATTTGCCGCTGTATTACTTTTGTGGTAGGTACTTTTTACGCAGGTAATAAGTACAACACTGACAATTGGTCACCAGATGACATCCAATGTACTTAGTATTGAGTTTTCATTAAAGATCTATTGATGAAATATAGTATGTAGTCATTGGACTGTACATTTCAGTGGACTATAGTTTTGTTATAGACAACACTTTTGAATGTTAGATGAAGTATATACTCCCCTCGAAATTTCTCTAGCACTTTACTCTTACCCTACAACAAATTGAAAACTACAGAGTGAGGATTTGTTACTTATTAAAAATTACTTCGATAAGTATGACCCTGACCTGCTTAGGTCTTACTGACAGAATGTAACTGACAGTTAGTATATCTTTGTTTTTATCATTTTTTAAAGTCAATGATCTTTGTAGTACTGCCGTATAAAGAAGGAACATTATAGGCCTTACGTAGGATTTTCAATAAGGCTGGAATTAGAGTGGCATTTAAACCAGCCAATTTTCTCAGAGATAAACTTTGTCTGTTTAAGGACCTAATAGACCCAATAAAATAAAATAGAAATAATTTATTAAATACCATGTAATGACTGTGAGGACAGTGACATAGGTCAAACTAGTAGATTAGGGTCAACTAGATTATTGGAACGTAAAAATTTATCTAGATCTAGAATAATTGACCCTGCTAAGTTAAACAACCTGAAGAAAAAAAATGCTCAACCATTGCACTGCATTCACTTGCGTGTAATCACACAATAGGATGGGATAGGGTAAGAGTGTTGAAAAGTAATATAGTTAGGTGAAGAGACGGAGAGGCTAATTACTGAAGCTTTGTTTATTGATTCAACACCGGACATGTGTAATCAGAATGACACAGCGCCTATACCGAAGCTTTCGAAAATAGCAAAAAACAACTAAGGAAAGAGAGGGAGTAAGAGAAAAACATTTTTGATTGCATACTAGTCAGTAACTAGTGTAATGTGTCTATTGCTATCTTCGGTGCGGACTGAATTCCATCAGTCAAGCTTGCAATATGGCCACCATACTAGGTGGCTCGCTATTATGGCGCACTGTGAATTGTTGGTATTCGATGGTTAGAGACAATGGGCAGGGGAAGACTTGGACCTAGGTTTCGTCCTAGTCGGCACTCATCGGTCAACAAGGCGTATCTGCAACCTTGAAGAAACTCATGTCCCTTCTGAGATTCGAACCCGCGTCACTCAGCGCTGCAGTCAGAACAAGATCTCATCGTGAGCTGACATCAGTTGGGAAACTATTGGAAAACCTAACTAACCGAACTGATGTTAGCTCATGATGAAATCCTGGAACCAGTCAAATCCCTGTAAACCAGTACTTCAATACAAAAAAATTAGGAAGCTGTGTGACAAAAACTGATATGATTATCAGCAATTACTTAGGCTGGAAACGTTATCCAGTTATCAATATTGCAAAAATGTGTATTATTTGAAATAAACTTATCTAATATGGAATTACGTTATACCAAAGTGGCCAAGTTCTACATTTACATTAATGATCTTACAACTTCTTATGATATCAAACTCTCTCTCCAAGCTCGTCATACTTCAGCCATAATTCGAAAATCAGACCGCTTTACTTTACATTACTTTACTGCATTACCTTACACACTAAATGCATGCAGTTTGTCAAGTGGCGAATAGCATTAGGTCTCATCGAATACTGATATAAAATACTGAGCAGTAAATGGATATTAAGAAGTTTATTTCAATTCACAATCACATAGTTATCCTATTTTTAGAATAAGAAGCTGTGACTGGAGAAAACAACAAACTTGGTAACAGACTGTTTATTTTCTCTATCATATATCAAAGTCATCATGTGCACAGATCTCCCGTGTTGTGCTACTTATACCCTTCCTTCGTATTGTATTTCTTTGTCTTCTTTTCGTGTCTTTCATGTTTTTTGTCACAACACTGGTTCATTCTATTTCTTTGAGGTCAAACCCATCTCTCTGTTATTTGATATTTTTGTGACAATGTAGGTTTATTTATAAACTACTGATAAATCTTGTCAGTAGCACGCGCCACCAAATAAAGGGATTATTATTCAACGGTCTACTTCCGAACTGATTATTGTTAGTAGATTGAAATGTTTAATTTATCTCCTCCAGGTGAGGAGTCCAGAAGAGGGCAAAACACGTGTTGCCTTAGAGATGTTAAATTAATGATTAAGAACATAACTGTGTTATAAGTTGTAGAACAAAATAAACTAACTCATTATTCAATGTTATGCATCCTAAATAATCATACTACATTGCTTAACATATATATATATATCTCACAATTCAACATGCCAATCATTTGATGCAGACAACTCGCTAAGAAGATCCATTTACAAAAAGCCCACATGGAATAGACACTTTATTAACTTTCATAGTTGTGTGCCTCTAAGCAGAAAGAGAAACCTAATGTACCTTCTTTCCTCGAGGATCCAGAAGATTTGCACTGAAGAGTTAAACTACAAAATTTCGGAGGAACTTTGGTAGAAAATGGATTCCCACCCATATTCATAGACGAGAATCTAAAACCAAAGAAAACACTTGTAAAGGTCTAATTCTCCCCCAAAAAGATGCTAATATTGAACCTCGAATTTAAAAGTGATACTGAAGCAGAAATTCTCCGCAGACGGCTTTCAAGATCTCAGTAAAACATACTTCGCCGCCTGCCTACGAATAACATTCTCCTGCAAGAAACTGCTCACCCAACACGTGAAAGCTATCATAGTGGGTCACTTCAACATGCATATACAAGTTCACTTGCTCGTGTGGAGCTGAGTACATTGGCCGTACCATGCGTCCGCTTGTAAAACGCTCGCTGGAACACTATTCAGCATGGCTAGCAAATGGAGAAATCAAAAGGGTACATAGTTTGGTAACAGAACATCTGGTGAATTCTGGACATCCAGCCCCATTTGAAAAGTCCTTCAAAGCCATATATAAGATACGATCCAACCTACCAAACGGAGTAAAATCAAGACATATAGGTAGGTATAGATGAGGCACTGGATATCTAAAAACTCAAGTCTATTCTATGTGTCTAAAAGAAATATGTCCAACCGTTGTCCCAACCGTGGCCCTCATGAAAAGTCAGTCTCACCAGTAATGATGATCCTATTACCTTTATTTCCAACCTTCTCATTTACTGGTTATATTTACCTTTTTAAATCCCTACCTGCATTATTAGATCTGGTTACTGTTTTTATTTTTATATATCTGAGGCTTCAACCCATCTCGTTAATACTACATCCTTAACCCGTAACTATATAAACTGACTAGTTTTATAGCAATTATAATCTTATTATGTCTATGCTACTACCTATCTTCTATTTATTACACTAAGTAATCTTATTAATCTGACCTCTGACCGGAAATAATCCTGGAAATTTCTCACACATGTAATATAAATACACGAATGTACAGCTGTCTAGTTGATGACTTCATCGAAAAGAAAGTTTTCTTCGCTACAATAGTCTATTTAATAATTCATCTTTTTATTGACTTTAGACGTAAATGTACACATTGTACCACCAGAATTGGATGTAAACAAAACAGCTGATTTCATCATTGGTATTCTACTTTCAACAAGTTATGACATACCAAATTTATATACAAATAAGGAAGAAAGTCAAATTATTAAACGTCCAGCATCTTCACCAGCTCAGACTATAATCAATCATTCTCTGATAACAAACAAACTGATGAAGTATCACAGCAAAGATATTTCATTTCAACAGACTATTACTAGTCACCAGAAATCAGATATTATTTTGTCTAGAGACTCAACAGTGAATCAAACGGATAAAAGTTCAAATATTCAAATTGGTATTATTGGTCTAGGTGAGTTGAATGTTTGAATGAATATTCATGTCAAAAGTGTTCGTTCTCGTGTACCTTTTAAGATTTACTGATAGACTACTTTTTTGGTTAACTGTTTTATAAGTAGCATATTCATGTAATTTGTGGATGGTGACTAGCAGTGGAATCCAAGATACGCGCATTTCGTCCTATTCCAGACTCGTCATCTAGAGGCACCGGCATTTCCCAGTGAGTGATGATGTTCCCACCGAGGCTCGAACCCAGCGCCTATAGTTTCAAATGCCGAAGCATTGTCCACTAGACCACAAGAGCCACCTTTTGTGCAACGGGTCAGATTAATTATTTAGTTGAATTTTAGATTTACCCATCGACTGATTGAACCAACAAGCCACAGCTCTTTAATATTTATATCTACCGCGATTAAACTATCACTTAACAACGACATATCAACCTGATACCGAGCACTTCGGTCCACTCAGTCGACGGGAAAATCTAAAATTCAATTAAATAAATAGCATATTCACGGTTTGCAACTACACTACTGTTTCCATGGGAAATTTAAGCAATAAATTTCGTTGTGTCGGGGTTAGGTTGATTGTAACTTTACTTTGTAAAGTGTTTAATTGAGTGACTGATGGATCAGCATAGAAACTTAGACAAAGATTCATTTGTTCACCATACCAAAAAACACATAAAAGAATAGAATACGAATGTTATACTGCTACAATAAATAAACACAGGTCTAAAGAAGTAGTGAGAATTTGCAATGAATGAAAACCTGTAAGGAGAAAATGTATACGTCGTTGTGCAAAAGGCTAAGCCATATTGTTTTAGGCTGGCCAATCATTGGTTCTCGACTCCTCAAGGATCCACACCGCCTCATTTGTCTCAGAACAGCGATCAGTGACTTCATGGATTATTTCGATGTTTTCTTTTGATTACAGATTAAGAAAGGCAGTGGCTATGTCTGTGAGGCACCTACCCTAGTAATCTCACTTTACGAAGCTTCACAATCACGTCGATTGACTTAACTTTCTCACCTGAATTTGTACGGTTAATTCCATCATCACTTATCATACGACTCTATTTGAAGTGGACAACTAGCCGAATACACCCACGGCTAATGATCTAGAGTCTTTCCACATCTTTCACTTGGAATTTTATTTGAAAAGACTAAATTCGTTATTTAGCAATATGTCTAGCTAGTGAAATGAATAAATTCAATGTGCAAGTATTGGTTTTGTGGGGATTTCGTTGCATTGGTTGGAGGATTTCATCATGAGCTGACATCAGTTCGAGAACCATTGGAGAACCATCTGGGAGTAATGGACAGCTGTTTCCGCCTAGTTTGGGACTGTTCACCAGTACGCATCCACTAGGTACAGCAGGTTGAAGTTGTGGCAGTGACTCATCGAAGTAAACAATACAAAGTGGTCGCAGGATGCTATGAATTGGCGAAACTTAGAATTCATGGGCCTTTGACTCCATCTAATGGCCGATGTATATCATTAATCCCACTGTGTCTACACTAGTTTACCCACTTATTCTTAGAGTTTCGATCGAGAAATGATGATCGAAAACGAATTCGGTTCAAATTCAAATAATATTTATTCAATGAATGATATGTTACTCAGCAACTACTTGTAATTCTGTGCAGCTATCAATGAACCCCACCTGTTGTTTTAAGGCTGATGACACCTAGCTTTTGAAATCTCGGTAGGTGGACTATGTTTTTAACCTGTGACCCATTGGCCAGGAATCGAGCGCTTTAACCAACAAGCCACAGCGCTCCTAAATATTCATACCTACTGCTTAGTGTGGTAGAATAAAATAACCCTTTTGAACTATCACTTACCGATGATAACGAAGAGGAATAATAATGCAAAGTAATTCGTTTTTTTTTCTTACTACTACTCTATTCATCACTTGGCATTTTATGCTTTAATACAGGTTCAGTAAGTTTGGCCTTAATACATCGACTAGAGAAATTCAATTATACCATTCGTTTATTTGATACACGTTTACCTGATGGTATGGATACTGTATTCAACTTACACTGTGTAAATAACCTTGAAGAAATTATCTTACAATCTGATTGGATTATTATTATACATGAAAAAAGTATTATTAATGAATACTGTCCAGATTATTCTTCATTAGTTATCAATGAAATGTGTAGTGATAGCACCATCTGTAAAATAAAGGCGGGTAAGTTGTGCCTTATTGTTTGTAAACTACTGTTATATTGATTTGTGTTATGCGTAAGAATCTTATTGTTACAGAAAGCAAATACTACGAAGGTTTTTATGTATAGATCAGGGAAATGTATGGTGATTTCAAGCAAAGCTAGATATCAGTTTATATTAGAAGAAGAAGATTTACACTGGAGGATGCTAATTCAAAAGTATTGTGACACAGTGATTGACCTTGGATCAAACTGAATATTGGTTAGAATGACCAACTGTAGTGGCTAAAACCGACATGTTGTGGTTTTAACACAGGAGACCGACCTTTGCATTCTACCGTATAGCTGGTCAAAGCTTCCTTAAGTTACTCGCAGTCACAAAATGCTCCAACTGCAGCACCAAGAGACTTATTCTCAGTACCGTCTGTGGTACTATTTAAAAGTAATTACATAACAATGAGCAAAATTACCTGCACAATACAATTAGGCAGTTATATGGATCAAATTAGTTCTCAATTACAAAACGAGTACTGCAAAGCAAAATTAGTTGTCCGAAATTCAACGTTAAGAATTACTTTAGAATAAAAACAGAATATTTCCAACATGATGGGATCAAGAACTTCGTCAGTAGTAATCACGCACCAGCGATTCACGAAGACAGTCCAATGTCATTCTGATCTTGGCTAACACACACAAACAAAGTTACAGTCGTAAAACAACGCATTATCAGTATTATCATCATGCAACCACAAAGAAAAGCATTAAAATTAGAGATTAAACATGAAGAAAGACAAATAACAAGGATCAAGTTAAGGTAGGATATGCAAACATCAGAGGAGTGTCATACTGTCTGGGAGAAAAAATGATAATAATTACAAATTTTGTTGAGATTTAGATCGTTCAGGAGGCGATTTTCCACACAGTTATTCTAGTATATCACCAATTTAAAAATATTGGAGTATGATTGAGGTGTTGTTCATCTTTGGCTTGTGTTACATATATGGTACTTTAGTATCAATTACGAAATTAAAATGTAATGCTAGTAAAAGAGTGATATTCACGTTACAGTTTCCAGCTTTACTCTAATGAACAAAATAATAGGAATGCAGGATAACAGGTACTGTAATATTACATACTATCACTGTATCCACCATCATCATGCTACAGAGGATTTACAGAAGTGATACTCTTATCAACTGTTAACAATCTGTCAAATCAAATATGCAAAACAAACACATTCTCGTGTTTTTTTATTTCAGCCTGGTTTCTTCTGAAAAGCTGATTTATTTTAAATCACAGCATATGATCTATTGAACATCATAAACTGCCTAAAAATGGTAGACATTCAGGTAATAAGATCTAAACCGCTGGTGTAAATGAGATCCTGGAAACCCTTTAAAACAGTCAGTAGTGCTTATTAATCAGATCAATGATATCTAAAAATGACTGTATGACCACTGGGCTCATTCTAGACCAAGATCTTTAGTGATTTATTCGGAATTATTTAACTCACCAGAGTAGGGTCAATTCAGGATGTCTTACTTTTGAGTAAAATTTCATTTTAGACTGTGCATGTTACAGATAGTTCGTTTGATACTACATTGTAGCTTGCCTAAAATCAGATATATATACTGATGATACTGAATTGGTCTCAGCACCTGACTGATAAGCTCTACCAGAAACGTACCATGTGTTCAAAAAACTTTGGATCCCTCTCTTTGGCTAGCTGTTTCCCAGTTATTCATAACAATCAGAAGAACATGTATATATATGGTTTTGTATTCAATCATTCAACCTTTTACTTCATTTCAGGTAGCCATATAGTATACATAAATCTTGTTGAAGACTTACCAGCTGGTTTTATTCCATTGAATTCAGCTATTCTTTCTGGAAAAGTACATAATGCCCATGTATTATTCAGGAAAACATGTTGTCGGATTTCAGGTAAGTATAAAGTAAAACAACGTCTTTGATAAATTAAAGTCACTTATTGACCAATAGTTTATTGGGTAGGTGTAATTTCATGCTGATGTGTCACTGGAACTGAATATACAGGATCAGCTTGAGAGTATCTCTGGAAGGGAAGGAAGCCCCAGAGTGTAGAAGATACCATAAATCGAACCTTTTTGAGTATATATTTTCACCTTAGTACTACCATCAGAAAGTGTTCCTCTATTAGTCTTTACACTAAATCGAAATCGATCCGTAAAGAATGATCTAAATCGCTAGACAAGCATAAAATACGGGTAATTTAAGAATTCAAAAATTAGCCACTCTCACTAACTATTTATTATTTCGAATGGGTAATTCATGTGAAGATGAGTCCCATTTGATAAGATTATTCGACTTTTGCCCATTCAATATCCGGTTCAGATCCCACTTCACTCGTTTAAATCTGGGTAACTGAGTACTACCATCAGTTCTCAAACGATATATATGACTCATGTGTCAGAAACTGCTTCCGGGTTAGTGGCTTCTAACGGGGTGTTAACCCTACAACGTTATTCCGAACGCCTAAAGCTGCCTTATAACAACCTGGTTTTATTCTTACATGTACTAAATATCGAAAGATCTCCGCCATTGTATCAAACTTAATCGACATGATTTAAGAATTTATTCATTTGGGAAGTACTTTTAGATGAAATTAAACTTTTCCCCTCATAAATGATAAAATGATCATGGAAACTTTAATTTCAGACTAGGCTAGATTTTTTTTAAAGTCATGTCTAGCTGCATTCCTTACTGTAGTTTGATTATTCCTTGTTTTACCCATGTTTGTTTGTCATAGTATGTGTGTGTGTGTGTGACTAAACATAGTGTGATAGACCTGAAATGATGTATTTCTCTGTGAAGGTCTGTATTCATTCGTTGATTGCTTGTTTAAAACAGTTTGTTACTGTTAGTGGCTGATCAACTGTAAACGAATTATAATAAGTCCGTATTCGGCTAGTGATATAAGACAAGTAGTTTAGCCATTAAAATATACCAGATAATAAGTGAATTATGAATTTAGACACATTTCTTGAAATACATCTGAATAACTTGGAAATACCCTGTATCCAGTTGGTGAAATTCGCAATCTGAAAATGAATTCACGACTTCAGCTGATTTGGTTATTTGAGGTCAGTCATACCGAATACATTGTTAATGAATTTTGCCGTATACGAGGAAAAAAGCCGTCTAGTGTAAAGATTGTTCCTTTTTGGCTGTTGAGCACTACTACCTGATGTGAATAGCATCCAGCTACTTATGTTAATGACTTTCTAGTATACATCGTCGTTCCTTCATGCTTGCATACAGTCAGCTTAAAACTCATGTACACTGAACTCATGTACACTTGTTCAGTTCAATTATTGTAATTTATACCACAGTATATGGAAAAATACTTAGGTTTTGTCTAGTGAAGGTAATCTACAAACTTGAATCTAAAGGATGAACTTGTCATGACATTTCTTGACTTATAATTTTAACCAAATCTTCACATTTCTTCTAGAAATAAAATATGGACTAAATAAAGTTTTAATTTTTTAGATTTCCGTCAGGAACCAATATAAGTTACAGAGATCTCTGAAAACCAATGGACACTGGACAGGTCTTTCATTCTATTTTTGAACTGTGTGGTACTGCGCATTCATAACCACTCCAGGAGTCGAACCCGGTACCAAGCACGTTGAGAGTAACGCTATACCACGGTTTGAAAAAGTTGAAATCCGAGAATCACAGGATTCCAGCCTGAATCGCTGAATTGTCAACGGTCTTGTTCTCGTAACCTGAAGACGGCGGGTTCGATTCATGGCGAAATCGTGTGTGCGCGCTGATGAGGAGTCCCAAATTAGGGCGAATAAGCTCTCCAGTATTCCCTGGTTTTCAGTGGTCTCTCTAACTAATGCTGATTCGTGACAAAAATCAACTGAAATTAATTCGAATTCCTCACAAATCGCATTATCTAAGTATTGAAATAAAGTTTTTCAACAAGACAACAAGATCAGCTATAGCAGGATAATATACGCTGAGTTTTATTAATGTTTTGTGGATTATTTTCAATTGCTTGCAGTTTAAACAGCACCAAAGTATGAGAATTATAAAAACAAATATTTGAACAAGCTTTCATCACTTAAAGCTTTTTTGATTGGTTATTGTAGACTGAAATGCTCAACTTTTATGGATAACCTTTTGGCATTTGAAAAGATAAGTGCTAGTTCGTATATCAGTACAGACACTACTACCCAGTGGGGATATGAGTACTCCTAACTTGTGAATCCTAGACAGGAAGAAACGATATTCATCGATTTCATACTTAAATACCGCCAGCTAAGTATAACTTGCATCACTCTGGCGACAAGTTATTGGTGAGAACTATAAATATTACAAGTCTCCATTGGTTTAAGTAGCTAAATTATTAAAAGTTGGAAAAATTGATTATTTGTAAGATAATCAGACTTATGAATAAGTCATTGTCACTGTGATAAAAGTATGTTCAAACCCTTTGTTTTTGTAATTCAAACACATAATGGTACTGTTAAAGTTGCAAGCAGTTACAGAGAATCTGAGAAATTAAAAAATAGCTCAGATTATTCCGTTATATTCTCGTTAGTTTCGCTTTATTCAAGTTCCTCAGTGGGAAGACTTCTATGAAACTGTTAATTGTTTTGAGTTATAAATACTATGAAATCGAGGCTAAATTACTCATGTTTTGGATTTCCTTTTTAGTCATTTGACGGAATCTATCAAACCTCATTTCTGGTGTTTGGGCTGCTTTAATCAGTACCTGGATATTACTGGGACTAATAACTGGAGGTTACTTGTTCGGTAATGGCTAAAAGTAGAATTCAGGAAATCCTTGTGATGCACATGCTTCCCAATGGGTGATGGTGTTCCTGCTGAAACTCCAAACAGATAGATACTCTGTACCTGTCGCACAAAAAGGTGACTCTAGTGGTCTGCTTGACTGATGAATAACACTTTGGCATTTATAGTGGTGGGTACTGTATTAGACTGTCATTGAGAACACCATTACTCGATGAGGGGCGCCTCGGATGGGGCAAAACGTTCACCTTGGATTCTTCTCTTGACCACCGCCAAATAAGTCGCCTCAGTTGATACCGAGATAAATAAAAAGTATGCGGACAAAACACTTTTTGCATCATAAACGACTTAATAAATTCGCTTTTATTTTATCTCATAGATGAACTGAATGTGCAAATGTCATCAAATTTGTTCTGTTTAAACAAGCGATTGAGCAGACTTCAAATACACTTAACAGAATTACGTTTTCATATGAGTCAATTTCTCAGAAGGAATCTTTTAAAGTCGTCATCACTTCAATTTAAAATGAATGAAGTAACGAAAACAGAAGAAGAAACCAGAATTAAGGTTGAGCAGCCTAATCCATCAAATTTAAATGATTGGAAAAGTAATTCTGCGATTAAAGAATTAAAACAACTTTCAGAATCAAACCAAGAAATATGTAAGTTATTAAATTGTAATATTAACGATGAACATTATTGTTCAGTTATAAATAAGTTAATTTCTCTAGACTATGCATACTAATTAAACAGCCGATGGTGAGACTGAGATAGTCTTGCGTTTGGAAACAGTTACTGATGTATTGTTTGATGATGATGATGATGGAAGATTAGTAGTTGGGTCATATAGCTTAGTTGGTAGAGCGTCGGACTAGTTATTCGGAGGCTCTTGGTCCAACTTCCTCTGTGATTCCGGTTTTCATTTCACCTTCTAACATCCTAAAGTGAATTGATAATCAAGGAATTCCAAGTCTGATCGCAAAATGATATCAGTTAGAGAACCATTGAAAACCAAGGAGTGTTAAACAGCTGTTTGGTTCTTGTTTTGAACTCTTCAACCGTCCGTACCGATGACCTCACTGGAGATCAAGTCAAGGCCATTTATGTTACAAAACGAGCATATTGCTCATTCAAGCACTGGGACGAAATCCAGTAGCTTATACATTCTAAGTTCTGTCAATTTTTACGATTTATAGAGCTACCGCTAGATGTTGTTGCTGATGGACCTCATTGGTCATGAATTCTCACCAGAACTTCAGGTAACTTCACCCTACAGCCAGTCACTATTAAGCATTAGTAGCTAAATGAACTGTGACCTCGACTTGTAACCTTCTCGACCTCCGGTTGGGTCATGGACGCGTACTGATGAGTCCCAGGCCAGGACGAAACATGTATCCAGAACTTGTGGCTTTTTAATAGTTTTCTAGCTCATTTCATTTCATCATCAAACTTGAAATCAATTACATCCTTGCAAGCCAAGATTTAAGAATTAAAAGAATTGTTTTATGAAAGCTGAATCATACTTATGGCAAAATTATGTCTTCTTTGGACATTTACACGTCGAAGGGCAAACATAAAGAATGGCAACCATCGAGCGCCAACGCACCAATGACTTTAAACACTTACTATTCGTTGGATTATAGGACTTGCCGTGTATAGTTCATCAGAAAGCCGTTTATTTACGAGAAAAATCTACAGAATAATAGTGAAACACATCAAAGGTGATATTTTTACTCTGAAGTAACTAAAAAAATACTTCCCGATTACAATGGAGGTTATCAGTTTTCAAGTTTCAGACCCATCAAAACGGTTTCATTTATATGAACAAAGAAATGCTCCCCTCCCGTGTATTTATTTGGAAGAAAAATACAGATAATAATGAAACACTCTAATCCCAACACTTAGCTTAACAGCAATACTTGCCTTACCTTACTGTAATACATCCAACACATAAATTTATATGGAATTAGACAACACCACAGTGCCCTAGATTTACACACACATAATACTTTAAAATCAACTCGTTTTGATAGAAATCGCAGAGATTAAAGCAAAATGCTATGTATTCAGTTAGACAACTACTGAAAATCAGGGAGTACTAGGGAGCTGTTTCGTCCCAATCTCGAACTCATCGACTATGCACACCTGCTGGGTTTCGAACCCATGACCTTCCAGTTAGAAAACAAGCCCGTAGGCCATTAAGCCACTGGAACTCAATACAATAGTCCATGAATTCTAACTTCTACCAATTCGTGATTTTAGCGCGACCCCCAACCATGTTATCGGTGGCAAGTCCATCCTCACTCCAAACTAGATGGACCCTACTGGTCATGACTTCTCACTAGAACTTCGGGTAAATTCATCCTGTAGGCAGCCACTAGTTAGAATTGATGGGCAAGTGAATTGGATCCGAGTGGCTGAATGGTATACAAGCTTGTCTTTTAACTGGAAAGTCCTGGATTCGAAACTCAGTTGATTTATACTGCTGTTGAGTCCCAATCTAGAGCAAAACATCTGTCTGGTACTCCTGTTTTGATTTTCATTGGTTCTCTAAGTGATATTAATCTCTGGTCTAACCTGAAACAAATAGTATCCCTAAAAACTAATTCTGGATAATTATGTATGTATTGAAATAAAAGGTAGAGTTAAGAGATTACTTTGGATACACATGGAGACTTTCTTAAACTTTTGTTTCCCTAATATTGAATGAATATTCAACTCACTGCCAACCATACCACTCCTCAAAACGTCAATACTCATCTACTTAATACCACACTGAATCTATTTAGAAGGATTGTTTTATGATAGCATCACGCACTAACCACTAATGACCAGTAAATCATCCATCATGTCTGCTTCAACTTTAATGCTTCTAAGCGATGCGTGTCTTTGTCCACTTTCAGAGTCAAACTTCAGGCTTTCAGGTTGTAATAAAAGGGATTTATCGACATCAAATTACTTTGCTTTCAATTGTTCTACATATGGGATTCATAAAATGGTCATTCATGACACATTTAACTTTTCACTTACGTTAACTTAACAGTATGATTTCACTATGTCTTTCTTTCTTCTATTGATATCTCTAGCATCTCATGAAGTGAATAAACAACTTATATTTGGTATCAATTCATTAGTTGCTCGCAAAGTATCTAAACAGTATGTTAATCGTCGTGAATAAAACTACTAAAATGTCAATACAATACCTTCTATTTACCAAAGAATACAGCTCAGTGAATGAACTAAACATCATCACTATGAACTGATTAAGAACAATAAAATAGTTGGATTTTTAAATTAATTGTACATAAACAGCAATTGCTTATTTATATTTAATATACATATGATCACATACCTTCAAATCATCTATCTTATGTGATAGTTTAGGTCATTTCATTTATTTACTAATTTTATTTCACTCTTATAAGTAATCTTCATCAGTAATCATGCATCATTCATGATTGAAGGAACAATTATTTCATTAGTTACTGTCTAATTGTATACTCAATTGTATAGTTTCTTTCTTTTCAAATTATCTATAAACATGATCAACGTTTAATTGACAATTTATTTTAAAATTCAGAATTGTAAATATCATCAGTTGTAAACAGGATGAAATCCATCGTACACATTCCCTTCTTTGTCTCTTCTTCGTTTCTCAGTTTTCTTCTCCTATATAAACTTAATTCTATTAACTTATCAGTTATTGTATGAAAGTTGTTAATTTACACTAAATAATTAAAACGTTAAGCTGTACAAGTAGATAGACTTTTGTCGTCAGTATTTTAATTATTCATGACGCAGTGTGTACAGGAAATCTCAATTTCAAGTTTGATCACGGATTAATATCAGTTAGAGAATTATTAAAAACCACCAGAGAGTATTGAACCATTGTTTCGCCGTAATATGGGACTCTGCAACAGCACACACCCACCGACAAGTGAACCTAGAGCCTTCTGTTTTTGCAAGTCAACCTTATGTATCATTCATCCACTGGGAACCATTTCATTGGCCCATGAATTCTAACTACTACGAATTCGTGATTTTAGCGTGACTACAAGCTAATGTCATCAACGAGTATGTGTCCTTACGCCTAACTCGATGAACCTCATTAGTTATGATGTTTTACCAGAACTTCATGCAAATTCGTCCTGTCGCCAGCCACCAGTCATCATCAGATTAATTTTCAGGAGTTAGTCTGTGGGGATTTGATTTATTTCAGGTTTGACTAATGTCGAAATCTTAAGGAAATCTGAATTTGCTATGGAGGGTATACCTGTAAACTGTGAAGAACGATTGCATTATAAGCGAGGAAACTAATCTACCTTTTGATCAAGCTCACTTACAACAAGGCAAAAGGTTTACAAACCACGTAGATGGCCCAGGGTTCGATTCCCAACTGACGCATTCCTAAATCTCACCCAGTTTATTAGGTGATATTAATCCAAGAGAAGAGGAAAGGTTGAACGTGAAGTTAACAATCCAACCTTTTAAAAAGAGAAACACTGCCGCCACTGGAACTTCATAGCTCAAGTTTGAATCCCTGTACTTTGTTTGGAACGCGGAGGAATGAAATTACAACCGATTTCTTTTCTGTTGAGCAGTGGTATCTTAAAATGTCTTAAGGAAACGTTTGTGATATTCAGATCCTAAATCATGCACTCAGTAGCATTTGCTTTGTTGGATTAATTGGTCATAAATATGTAATTTAATAAGGCTAAATAATATTCAATGAATTGGACTTATAACCACCTCTTTTATTCACGTTTGAAGGGTTCACATTGAGTTTAGCTGCCTTCTGAAGAGTTGCATTTCGTTTACGGAGACCATAGTGAAACATTCATAATTTTACTCGGTGATAATGTCTGGTTTTATGGTTCTCATTTCAGAAGCGGACTACTGTTAATGATAATAAGGTTTTTCACCTTGTCATCTCTCATAACATATTTACTTTGTATGTGATATAATTTTAAGACAACGCTTGAATTTAACATCAATTATTTTCGCTTACTAATATTCCCGAGCTTGGTAGTCAATGCTAATAGTACGGAGGCATCTAGGCGCGAAAAATCAGTAGCCAATGAGATACGCTTTATAAATGATGGATAATATTTAATAAAAAAATACATGAAAACGTTACTTCTTTATGTTAGTGGTGATTGGCAGTGGAATCTGTGGCGAGTGTTTCATCACATTTAGGACTCGTTAGTTAGATGTACCTGTATTCCATTGTTAGTGGTCGTTAAACAAATAACTTCTACCATGGAAGCGTCCATACCAGAAACTATACAATAAACTTTTGAGTCCAGAAAAATAAATGAGAGAGGAATTCGAAACAATTTCAGCAAATCTTATCGTCCCATTTAATGGCCTCATCATACACTTATTCCGCAGATTTCGATTATTACGGAGAACCAGTTATCATTATGATGACTAGTTCATGTACAAGTACGTTCATGTTTCAGCGATCTTTCATAAATTTGGTTGACCAACTAACTGGTTTCGAAATAGAACTTTTCAAAGAAGTACAGCGTTTCGAGTTGCCACACTCCATGTAGCACACAAAGGAAGGTGAAATAAAGAAAAAGGGATTCAAAAGAACGATAATATACAGAAATGTGGTGGGCAAGGCAAAGAATAGTAACACAGAAATACAATCGGGTTTAATGGATATTTCAGATTACAAAGAGTGAATACATTGACGCTATTGAGAACGATTTTGAGTCATTCTATCAGCTGTCTCCAGCCATTTGTTCTTAGCACCCAAAGAACCTGTACCAGGTAGTCTACACCTCCCTACTTGCCTCAAACTACGTGTCAAGGATTTTGTAGATGAATCCCAAGTTTTGGTTTGACCAATGCTAGCTTATAGGAAGCTTGTGAATTTACACAAATACAAATGAGGTTATTCTGATTATTTTATGTGCTTTTAAAGCCTGATAAATTTAAGCATTAGATTATAAAAATGCACTTAATAGCTGCTTTTATTTTTGATGAAAGATGAATCAGAAGAATAAAGAAATACCTCTCCAGAGTGCTGTGATTTGTTTCCAAAACCATAATTAGTTCTGCTGTCATGAACATCTATAGATGATTAGGGGATTTTGAGCATTATTTTACTCCCTACGGCTGATCAAATAAATCAGTCATAGTTATGATTTGTAAGGATTAGTTTTATTTTTATATGAGTTGATCACGGATTGATATCAGTTAGAGAACCATTGAAAACCATGGGGTATTGGAAAGCTGCTGTTTCGTTCTAGTTTGGGAATCATCGGCAGTACGCACCCACTGGGATTCGAACCCATGACCTTCAGTTTACAAGGCAAGCTCGCTAGTTAACTAACTCTTACAAACCAAAATACAGAAAAATTAATCTGATGCTCGCTAGTGAGTGACTTGCTACAGGATGAAGTTTCCTGGAGTTCTAGTGAGAAGTCGTGACCAGTGAGGTCCAATTAGATGTCACGTGTGTGGATGGATGTCCCACCAACGACAATGGTTGGGGTCGCACTAAATCACGAATTGGTAGAAGTTAGAATTCATGAGCCATTGAATCGGGTCCCAGTGGCTCAACGGTATACGAGCTCGCCTTGTATCCAGAAGGTCCTGGGTTCGAACCCCGGTGGTGCGTACTGCTGAAGAATCCCAAACTATAAGGAAACATCTGTCCAGTACTCCCAAGTTTTCCAGTGTTTCTGTAACCAGTGTCAGCTCATGATGAAATCCTGTAGCAAAAACAACAACCAGCACCAATCACCCACCATAAGTAGAAGAGATTTAATAGAGATTATTTCCTTCCTTCATGGTTTCAACCACAGGCAGTCGGACAACGTGAATGAAGATGTCAAAACCAGACAGCCAGAATTGAAAAGACAAGCAACATACGCCTTCACCAACCTGAAACCAATTTGGAAATCTTCACTCAGTCAGAGTAAAGAACAAGATTTGGATTTTCAACACAAATTTTAAACCAGTCAGTAAATTCTTCTATACGGATCAGAAACTTGCACTACGTATCAGTCAGTCACATTAAGGATTTCTAACAGGTTGCAGACTTTCATCAACAGCTTCCAGCTTCATTGGCTCCATTCTGAAGATGAAATGGCCAGCCTGCCAAAGAGAATTAGCAGCAAGAAACTCTGCACTGGAACAAACCAACCAGGAGCCTATCACTCAGTATTTATGTGAGAGAAAATGGAGATGGACTGGGCATACGCCAAAGAGGCCGTCAAATGACATCGGGCTCAATGCAGGCCATTTCTCAAGTGGAGTTCCAATTAGAAGTGACGAGTGGGTCGTCAGTGTGAGGTTGACATGGAGGAGGAAATGAGAGATTATGGTCAAGCGTGGACGCGGCTGAAGAGGATGGCAGAAAACAGGACAAAGTGTAGATATGTTGTTGAAGCCTTACGTTCCACTCGGTATTCAAGGGAATTTTAGTAAAATAAAAATCTAGAAAGCAATGACTGATCATCAGTGGCTGTCTAATCCAGGACGGATCGTGATCTAATTTTAAATCAGTCAGATCCAGACAGAGACGAATACTCAAAAGATAATCTAATATCCACTAGTGATTGCCTAAAGAACAAAGTTGTCGGCTGGTCTATTCAGAAATCGTCACTAGTGCAGTCGACCAAGTTAAGTTTGAGGATAAATTCTCACCAATAACGTTGATTATTGGTGACTTTGTAAATCACTAATTGGTGAAAGTTAGAGTTGATTGGTTATTAGTTTATGCTAGATCAGCTGGATAGTCAGTCTGTCGTTTTATTAATCTGAGATCCTAGGTTAAACTTCCGGTGTGTGTTCATGAGTGTTTACTGTCGAATCGTCTCAAACTAGGACTAAATAGCCCTAAATATTTCTCTAACTTTTTGAGTTCTGAGTGTTTCCTTTGTTGGAACTTGACTGATTTAAAATTCCATCATGAAAATAAACAGGTTAAATATCTCTCAAAAAGTCACTTCAAAAAGTGATGTACAATAACTCTGAGTTTATTTATTCGTCAAAATCATTAGTTTTTTAAAGTGATTGCAAGGGATATCTGACTTTTATAATGGTAAACGAAATTTCCTCTGTCTCACTAACCTGATTAGAGGTACTCATCTTTTTTTTTGCACACTTAATAATATTAAAAACATTTAGTTAATGAAATATTGTCGCATAAATATTTACAAGATTGATTTGTGACAACAAGTTTGCGTTCTAAACATTCATTTAGAAAGTGTTGATTTACATTCCATAAACATAGTTCAATATTTTTTATGAAATTATCTTTTAAGCTTATGAAACAGAAACGTTTTTTTGATATTGTGGTGTTCTCTCAGCTGGATAGTTTAACTGCAAAGCTTTCATTGTCACTCTGAACAACATCCTGAATGATTACTTCTCATTGTGAAGTTTCTCAGACAAAATATCCATCTAGAAACATCGAGTTGAGCTTAATGTAAGTGTAGAACTTGGACATTGTGGTAGAATGTAATTCCATACAATAGATAAGTTTATTTTAAATATCGCACAAGAATGGAATATTGACAACTGGATGACGTCTCGTTGGCTTAAGGACCCGATAGATCCAATTAAGAAAAACCACATGTAAGTAACCAAATACCATGTAATGAATGTGAGGTGAGTGAAATAGGTCAAACTAGTAATTCGGGGTAAACTAGATTATTGGAGTATAAAAATTTTGGCCTATTATTGCCCCCTTGACTTCCGAGTGGAACATAAGGCTTCAACAACACATCTCTACTTTCTTCTATTCTCTGCCGTCCCC